TAGTCGACTGGCCGACCGCCGGCCGGCCTGCTGCTGGTAGGCCATCGGTCGATAGAGCCGAGCGAGTCTGCCGCCACTGCTTTCCAATGAGACAGTGCTGCCAAGTTGGGCGCGCTTTTGCCGGTCGGCCAAACGGGCGGGCGGGCCGACGAGGCAACGACGCAGTTTCGGTGTCTGCGTGTCTTTGGGAGAAGGAAGGGCCTATGGGGTGAAGGGGGGGTAATCAGTGAGTAGGTGTGTTCGATCGACCAGTGCGATTCGGGCGGTTTGCATGGTGTCGCAATTCTCTTGCCCTGAATATCTGTTTTTTTAAATTTTTTATTTTTTCTTTGTTCCTCTTGTTGTAGAAGTAGTATGTTTTGTATGAATGGTCAACGGTTACGAAAAGACAATGTGCGATCGTTGTTTAAGTTGTATGCTAACTGCCTCAACGCTTAAAATTGTACTTAATTTATGTAGGTGACCGACAGACTCGGTGGTACTTCTGCCGTACCGCTGTCAACTCTGAGTGTCAGAGTAGGTGTGCCTGAAGGATTTTTCTCCACGTTTGTGTCGACCTCCGAAGCTTGATTCCCATAAGCTTGTTTATTTTTCTTCTTTTTATGCGAGTGCATCTGGATAACACGTGCTCTTGCTTGATCTTATCTTCATCTTGGAGGTGTTTCTGGCGGTCGTCGACTATCGGATTCTCATAAACATCGAACCTTCGTTCATTCCTTCTGTCCAAATGATAATGCGCGGATGTCAGTGCTTTCGCTTTCATTTTTTTCTTCACTTCTTGACCATAGAGCGTTTTTTCTTCTTCCAGCGGAACGGTTTGTGACCGTTGCAGCTTTGGAATTTCCGCCATTGCCACAACAACAGAGGACGACACAACGCCACGCACGACCACCGATCATAGGCAAAGGCCATGTCGTTGCCTCGCCGCCGTTTCCACCGCGTTCGTCGGTAACATTGTCGTTTGTCTGTTCTCCTGTTCCATCGTCGTACTGCTCGTCGTACCCGTGTTCCTGCGTCATCGCTTCTTCCGCTGCCCGCCTCCAACGCTGTGATGATGATGACCACTGCAGCCGAAAAACACGAAGAGCACCAGTTCCTCATCGAGTTGACCAACTATTTCCGACGGAGGTGAGCAAGGCAGTTTTGAAAAAGAATTTTCTCATCTTCTAATTTTCTATTATTCGTTCGTTTGTACGCATTTCACTGCTTTAAGGAACGTCATGGTTAGCCCACCGACAATCAGTGGCCGCAGAATAGATCTGTTTCGTTTATACAAAAAGGTGACTAGTCTCGGTGGATCCGCCAAGGTATAGGCTTTTGCGACTACTTTACTACTTGATTACGGTTATTTCCTTGCTGATGTGTTATCTTGCTTTTCGTTGTAACCGCCGAATTTACCAATAGGCAGTTTCGTCTACGATTTTTGTCTTTTGCATCTTTTGTTCGACTTCTGTATGTAAGTGACTTGAGTTTTGGCGACGACGACGATGGCACACTTTTTCACTTTTTCCTGCTTGACGTTCTCCTCAGTTACCATTCACACGTGTTAGATGTTTGAAGAATGATTTGACATGATAGTCTGCGTAAGTACCATGTGCTGATATCTTTGTGCATGTGAAATAAAACCCCTGACTCCTCACATCAGCACCACTCTCCTGCGATCGTTGTCCCCTACCTACCTGTTGCACGATTTCCGTAGCAGATTCTGTATTGAATTCGAGTCAGCTCAATGTCCTTTGGATAACATGACAAATTTTAATTGTACACAACTATTATATGGTAATTCGCTCATACAGGTATGGACTGAGGCTGTTACGGGTTCATTCAAAGCCGGAGATACTTTTGTTTTTCCCGATTGCATTATCGCGATGTAGCCCTGTTCCTGCTGAACAACGTACATCACATACAAGACATGTTCTGCTTATGCAAACGGCTCAAGTGGTGATCATATACATGCACACTATACCTAAACTTCTGCATAATCTCCTTCAGGTTTAAGTTTATGAAGAGGTGTAGGCGATAATATAGTGAAAATAGCGCAGATTGTTTGAATTGCCGTAATAGCGAATTAGTTTCAGTTCATATGTTGAATTTCGGTATGGGTGGTAACACCTATACAGAAAGCAGGCTAATGATGGTCGCTGATTTGTTGTTCACAGTGTGTTCCAGAAATCACACTGTTACGTAAAACGTCTGATCATTGATTATGACTCCCGAAGTTGTTCAGCCCGTAGAAAATGGAACTCGAAAATCGCATTCGAGCTCCGGTAGATATCACTCACCTTTTCGCCACTGTATGAAAAAGAAACAGGAGACTACACGCTATACTTACGAACAGCTGTAAATTCTGCCCTTAAAAATAAACACATCTGGTCTGATGTTGCAAAAACGGACATCGTCGCCTGACCATAAGCTTCATCAGATCGGTCATTAGCATGACCAGTGCCCTTCCGCCTGTCATGATAACACAGATTGATGTCCCAGTGTCTACAACCGTTCTCTTTCTTATTTTATTGCAAACAGAATTACGGGTATTCTAAGCAGATCCGAATTTTATATGTCTGTTACAGTGCATACACTCTCAGTATTGGCTGTAATCCCTACCATCTATTTAATATTGATTATTTACTTTTATTTGCTTTTGGCATGCTTTTTGAAAGAAAACTTTTAACAAATAATAACACCATTCTAGTATTAAGTAAGTATCATCGAAAGTAAATTTCGAACGTTGACGTACACAAATGACAGCGTTTTATGGTTCTTCACGAGGTTTCATATTCAGGACTTTAATCAGGTTTAATACGCAAAAAAATCGGGTATGTTTTTTCATTTTAATGTGCATAGTTTTCACGGAGAAAAAGGATAGAAAACAAGTGACATGTATATAGCAAAGCAGAGTGGGGTTAATTTAATATCTGATCCGGTCAACTTATGTGTAGCTGCTCGTTATCTGACCAGCTTCCAGGACAGTTAAGAATTTTGGTCATATTTCGGAGTGCTGATTTGCCGTGAAGTTCACCGAATGTCGATATTGCAGCACTTGACTTCGACCTATCCTCTGAAAGATCTCAAATCAGACGATGCTCAGTGTTATTCAGAATTTGTAATATTTTGACTGATGAAATCCGCAGGTCTAACCCATGTTACACGTGCTAATCGTCGTGATCTGCTATATACTGAGTAAAAATAGATCTGTGGAAACGACAAAAACAGCAGTTTAGACTTGGTTTGAGATTTCCTCTTCGTAGATTCAATCTTGACTATCTCTTTAGGTGTATTTTCACCGTTACATCGTTCTGACTCCTGTTGCACTGGCAATACTTCTCGCACATTATCGCTAACTGCAGCAAGCGTCCCGTCCATGGAGCCGCATCTGAAGCCATTGACTTAAGGTCCCTGTTGGACATGGACATCCAATCAAAACCAACCTCCACTGGTGCTGTCCACACGTCAGACGGAAGCAGTGCATTTCAACAAGTGCGTCTACATCATCTACGGGTGGTCCTTCAAAGCGATGGTCATTAAATTCTCTGCGAACGTGAATTTGACATTACATATACCTAAAATAATGGGGCATGACAAAGGAACGAGACTGATTAACTAGGTCACACCTGTCGAGACGGAATTTACTAAAATCTAAGCTTCCGCCATAAACCACTGTTTCTCTTTTACACAGACATTGAGTTTGCAGTTCATTCACACTGGACTTCGTTCTAGAAACTATTGAAAAAATTTCAGTTTGTTGATTCATAGCTCGAGTTGCAGCAAAAATTTGGTTAGGAGTGGTTTCATTGTTCACTACGTTTTGTCCCTGACCACCAATAACATTTTCATGGTACATGCCGTGATGTATGTACTTATCATTTTATGCAGTCGAAATATGTAAGGATTCTGCATAAAATTAATTTTTTACTACATTGCGGGCACATCTGTGGTCAGTTGGTTGCTGTTTTCTCCCACTAGAGCCATTGCTGCCCTTAGCATTGCATTACGTTCACAATTTCTATTTCGATTTTGCTACTTAAATTCTTTGTCCATTAGGCGTCATCCTGCCGTTAAAGGGCATGTGGCTTCTGGCATTTCCGTAATCATATTCGTTTACTATGGTTTTTACTGCTGTACTCTCTACCGTAATACTTATGCTAATGTATAACATCTGAGTATTATTATAATACTAATACTTATTTGTAATTTATGTACCATCAACAAAATTACCAATGATTTTACAGCTTTATAACGGAAGTTTCCGATACCACCTGGTAAAATGACGTCTGTGTTTCAGTTCTCCAGATTTACAGTTCGCAAACGCACCGCCCATGTCTGCCGATAAATATATCTTATTCGGTATCTCAACAGGTTGTTAGCAGAGTGATGCTTCTTTGCATTCACCGTGTTGGTGGAAGACCGAGTGGATCACTGTTGCCGAAGGATATTTAGTTGATTACTCGGGATTTCCACCTGTTTTCCATGGCCAGCCGTGCGACACCGAACTGTTGCAGTAGGAATTGCAGTAGGAACATTGTGTTTGAGACTTTGCATATTATTTTTTCCATCACCCTTTAAATTACTACTAGTACGTTGGTTTCTTCATACTTGATGGTAGATCTTC